ATGAAAAACCAATCAAACAAGATAAGAGTGAAAAAGAAAGGATGAAAAGAGAAATAAAGAAAAGAAATTATCATCAGATTAAAACAAGAAAGACAGACAACCACAAAATAGGAAAGAAGAGTTATGAACACATCAAAGAAGATAAAAGAAGCACTCAAAGAAGTGATGATGATACAATTGAAGAAGATGAGTACGAAAGAAATGAGAAAAAAAGAATAAAGAGAAGAATGAATGAAATGATGAAAGAAGTTGAAGAGAAAGAAATGAACAAAAGAAAAATTAAAGAAAATATGAAGAAAGAATGGAATGAAAGAAAAGAAAGTGGAGATATTTTGATGAGAGAAGAAGAAAGAATAAAAGAAGAAATTGAAACACAATATTCAACCACACCAAATTATCAAGAAAACAAAATATACAATATTATTAAAGAAGGATATCAAAGAATCAAAAAAGGAGAAATTATCAATGAAAAAGAATATCAAGAAGAAACAAAGAAATGTGGATGGAGTGTTGGGAGTGATTTAACAATTATTTCAATGATAAAGAAATATGGAATATGTAATAAAAAAGAAATATATCATAATCCAATTATTCAATATCAAATAGAAGAAATAAATGGAATTAGAAATGAAGAATGTTGTCAAAAAGTTATTTCAGAACGAATTAAATATATTGTAGAATTAATAACAATTAAATGTAAATTATAATTCATTCTATAAATTATCACATCCAAAATATTAATTATTTAATTATTTATATCATTAAATTATTCAATAAAATATTATCATTATTTTCATTTTATTTCTTATTTTAATTAAATTATATCATAAATAATGAATAAATGATAAAATTATTATAAATATTTAATTAATATCTATACAAATCAATTTTATCATTCATAAAAATATTAATTTATATTTTATTTCTTTTATTTTAATCATTTTTATAACAATGATTAATTTAATTCTATTTGATTTTATTCTTCAATTCATTCATTTTTAGTTATTTTCTTATTATTTTCATTCTTTATTTCTATCTTTATCTTTTATTTCTTTTCTATTTATTTATTATATATTATTTTACTTCTTTGTTTATTTCTTTTATTTATTATATCATTTGATTTCAATATCAATTCTTTTAATTTTATGATTCTTTCATATTATTTATTATTTATATTCATCAATTTATATTCATATCTTTTATTTCTTTTATTTTTCTTTTCTATTTTATTATTTCATTTTATATTATTCATTTATTTTGAATTGATTATTTTATTTATTTATATTTGATTTATTTCTTGTTATATTCTTGTTATTATTTTAATTTGATATATTGTTGAATTTATCATATTTTATTCTTTAACAAATAATATGAATGAAAATATAAAGAATCAGAGAATAAAAATAATAAATAAGAAAATGATGAAAGAGATTATAATGATCAAATGAAATAATAATAACAATGTTTAACAAAATTATAATGAATGATTTAAATAATATTTCATCATAAATTATTCAATTATTATGTTTATTGTTATATCAATTAATTTATACATATTATGAATTTATTCATTCTTATTGTTTTATCTTATTAATTTTCTTTATTTCTTTATTTTATTTATTATTTATTTTATTTCTAATTAATGTTGACAATATATATTTTAAATATTAATGAATTATTTTATATTATTATTATGATATATCATTCTCTTTATTTCTTTGTTATTTATTATTTTATTCTTTATTATTTTCTTTTTCTTTATTATTTATTCTATTTCTATTTGTTTATTTATATTTATATTCATTTGAATTTATTTTTATTATATTTATTATTTATTTTTATTTATTATTCTATTCTCTTTCTTTTAACATTTCTATTTTATTATATTTATTATTCCTTGATTTTTATACTTTCATTTATTATTCATATTTTCTGTATTTTATTTATTTAAATGATTTCTTGTGTATTTTTAATTTCTTCATTTAAATTCATTAAATATGAATGATATTTATCATCTTATTTTAATTATTATTTAATATATCATTTGATATTTCTCAATTAAAATATTTAATATAATAGATTCTTTGTTTTTATTATTATTTCTTATTTGATTTCTTTGAAATAAATCATTACATAAATTATTTGTTTCATTTTGTTTTTATTAATAATGTTTTCTTTATTACAATTGTTATATTTATCATTGATCATATTCTTTATTAAATTATATTTTATTATGTTTTTATTCATTTTTATTTGTTATTTATTTTATTTATTATTTATTTGTTTATTTTATAATTCTTCTCTATTATATTATATTCATTTATTATCATTTGAATAAATTCTTATTTAAATATTAATGAAATATTAATGAATGAAATGAATGTTATGTTTTAGAAATATGTTAATAAATAGAATTTGTATAATTATCATTTATTATTTAATTTTCATCATTTTATGTTAATTATATTTTATTCTTTTATTTTGTTTTGATTTGTTTTTATTTTATTTTTGATGATAATGAATAAAAACATTACATAATGAATAATTAATATGTTTAAATGAATAAAGTGTAATTAATGAATACTTATTATTTATCATTATTCATTTCATTTATTTATTAAATATATATTGAATCAAATCAAATCAAATAAAAATTAGATAATTAAATGTTAATAATTTTATTTTGTTCATTGTTCAATGTAGATTAATTGTTTTAGTATTGTATTTTCATTATCTATTAGTTTATTCTTTGATTTTAGTTGTTGAATTATGATAATTTCCTTTTCTCTTTTATTTAATGTACAATAGAGTATTTTAAACATCAATTATTTAAATATTCATCATTTAATTTCTTTTTGATTTTAATGGATATTAAATTTCTTCTTTATTTTCTTATTTTAAGAAGAATATATAATTACTACTGTATTACTTTAGGCTAATATTCTTTTTAGAATCAACCACTAAACCCTTTTTCTTTGATAATCTTATATTATCAAATATATTTGTATCATATAAGTAATAATACCATCTTTATAAATACCCATTCGTTTATTGTCAATGATATCACATCATTGTAATTAATAATCTCTGTTATTCTTGTAGTATTGATTAAGATGTTTGTCTAACTAAATACAATATTATAACCAGTCCATAACTGGTAGATTTGAATGATGATAATATTTTAGTGAAGTGTGTTTTGTCTCTGACGTGATATCTTCGAATCTAATTAATAATAATAAAAATAAAGAAAGAAAAGAATAAATTAAGAATGAATAAAAATGAAAGATAATAGAATAAATGAATTCATAATTATTTATCATTAATTATATCATTAATTATATTATCATTTATTATAAATATATTGATTATTCATTTGTTATTATATCTATTATTTTTTATCATATTTTATTATTATATTATTAAATAAAAATAAAATATAAAATGAAATAATGAATAAAATATAAAATAAAATGAAATATTTAATAATTATAATTTATTAAAAATAAAAATAATTATCATTTTATTTTATTTCTTATTATTTATTGTTTTTCATAACAAATATCAATTAATAAAAATAGAATGATGATAAAGAATAAAAAAGAAGAAATTAAAATATAAAAATAAAAGAACTAATAAAAACAACTAATAAATAATAAATCAATAATGAAATTAGGATATAATGAAATAATGATAACATCAATGTATTTTAATAATATTAAAGATTTTATTAATTTAGAAATAGGAATTAAAAGATTTCAAGGAAATATTGAACGATTTCATTTTAATCCAATTCCATTAAATCAATATTCAAGAAAATTGTTTCCTAATATTGAAACATTTCATATTTATAATGAAGATGATGAAATATTTAAAGATGGAATAATATTTAAACATGTAATATGGTATCCAGTAAGTTATTCAACATATTTAAAAGAGAAAGAACAAGGAAATATCTATAAAATATAAAATATACAGAAGAAGATAGAGATAAATATGGGAATACAATACCATCAGAAGTTAAATTACTTGGATATCAGTGTTTAAATATTGTTATGGATTAACAACAATTAATATACCATCATCAATTATTGAAATAGGATATAAATGTTTTAAAGAATGTTATTCATTAACATCAATTAATATACCATCATCAATTAGTAAATTAGGATATGATTGTTTTTATAGATGTTCATCATTAACATCAATTAATATAGATAATATACAATTTATTAGTAAAGAAAGAATATTTATGAATGAACCAGTGTTAGTTAGTATTAAAATACCAAAAAATCTACAAATAATCAATAGAAAGAATATTGAAAAGAAAGATATTAATAAATTTATTATTCCATCATCAATTACTAAATTAGATGATTGTTGTTTTTATAAATGTTCATCACTAACATCTATCAAAATACCATCATCAATTAATGAATTAGGAAATTGTTGTTTTTATGAATGTTCATCATTAACATCAATTAATATACCAACATCAATTACTAAAATAGGAGATGAATGTTTTTATGGATGTTCATCATTAATATCAATTAATATACCATCACCAATTAATGAATTAAGATATCGTTGTTTTAAAGAATGCTTATCATTAACATCAATTAATATACCAGCATCAATTACTAAAATAGGAGATTATTGTTTTAGTTATTGTTCATCATTAAAATCAATTAATATACCATCATCAATTACTTTATTTAGACGTGGATGTTTTTATAAATGTGGATGTGAAGAAGAATTAAAACAAAATAAAAGAATACCAAGAGATTGTTTTGAATTATGATGAATGAAATAGAAATACAATAAATGAAATACAATATAATTTGAAGTAGAAATAAATTATAATTGATTATCATTTATATTATTATTATTCTTTTCTTATTTATTCTTTTTGATATAAATGATAATATAATATAAAATGATAATAATTGAATAAATCTATTTGTTTATGAATGTTATTGTTGATACAATAATAAATAGAAATAAATAAACAAAGAGT